AGGTGGTCTCTCAGGGAAGGTGTTGGGGGTGGGAGGGACGGGATTGGAGACGGGAGGGGTGGAAGGCATAGAGGTGGGAACCAGCAGAGAGCCTGGACCTGGGGCAGGACCTGGGATGCAGCCAGGGGTAGACAAGCTGTAGGCAAGGGCAGGATAGGGGGCCATGTCTGGGGCAAGGCTGAGCAGAGAGAGGGGTGCTGGGCAGGGACTAGGGTGTGGTGGGGCCAAGCAATGGTAGAGGAAGTAGCTGAGGCCTGGCAGTGCGCAGTGCTGTGCTGGGTGGGGCCGTGGGCGGGGCCGCGTTTGGGAGGAGCCAGGGACAGTGCACGGTTTTAAGTGAGTGGGGCAAGAAAGTCTCACCTTGCTCTCTGCAGCCAGGATGACCAAGCAGCATGCCTCCACGGGCCCAACTGCGCTCTCTGACAGGGAGCCTGCACTGAGGCCTCTGGAACTTTCTGCACACAGACTCTGGCTGGGGGAGATCCCTGGGTCCTGGGCTGAGAAGTCAACACCAACTCAGGTTAGCACAGTGGAAAGGCAGGCAGGAGGGCACCTGAGGCAACAGCTGGAGCCACTATGGAAACAGGCTGAGAGGCCTTTTACCTGGCTTAGGTGCCCACAGAACAACCTGGGTGAAGGGGCAGCACCAGGCATACCTCAGGGCAGGCTGCCTCCCTCCCCTGCTTCTCTAAACAAGGGTGGGAACAAATGAGCCCTAAGCTCCAAGGCACCAGAACTGCATGTCATCTTGCAGTTTCACATGCTCCAAGTTCATATACAACATACCACACACACAACCCTGAGAACAGTCACCTCCAGGAGGTTTCCATGTGTTCTGGCCAGGTTGTTCCCTTCTTACAGATGGGTAAACTGAGACATGGGGAGGTGAAAGACTGGGCCTGAGGGTGTGTGAGTTGCACTGTCCATGTGGCAATCTAGATGGTCAGACCCAAGTGCCCTTGTTCCTAAAACCCTACCCACCGCCTCCCCAGACAAATGAGGCTCTCCTGAAATACATGGAGTAACTCAATGGTTTGCCTGATGGCAGGAGGGAGGCCCATCCCCAGGAAGCAAGGCTCTGACCATCAGTTTGGACTACCCTGGGAGGACGTCAGGACTGAAAACAAAGCCTACAAGTGCCACTAGTGCCAGGATATCGGAGGGCAAGCCAGCCTCAGGAGGGAGGGGAAGGCCGTCCCAGGCCAGATGCAAGGTGGGCACATGCACAGAGACAAGGGCTCCATAAAGGACTGTACCTCAAACCCCACAGTGAGACTCCTGGAGCTGCTCTGTCCCTATGGCAGCCACTGGCCACAGGACTACTGAGCATGCAAAATGTGATGAGTTCACACTGAAACGTGTGAATTTAAACTACACACGGGATTTCAGAACTCAACAATTTTTATATTGATTATATACTGATATGATAATGTTTTGGGTACAGAGGGCTAAATAAAATATATTATTGAAAATAATTTCACTTGTTTCCCTTTTTGTATGAGTTTGGTGAAAAATCTCTACTTTTCAAATTTTTTTTTTTTTTTTTTAAATAGAGACTGGGTTTCACCATATTGGCCAGGATGGTCTTGATCTCATGACTTCGTGATCCACCCGCCTCGGACTCCCAAAGTGCTGGGATTACAGGCGTGAGCCACCACGCCTGGCCCAGACATTCTTTAAATGTTGGCTCCCTGGTGCGTGCCTGTGGCAGTTCTCAAGGAAGCAGGGTGGCCAGCTTAAGGATGCAGGCAGCGAGTTGTGTGCCTCTCCTGTATCACCCAGGAAGTGCTACCACGGGTGCGCAGATGACCCTGCTTGCTCTGGCACCAACTCAAGTCACTGCCCTCCAAGCAGCTACTGCCACACGGACCCTATTGCAGCTAGACCTGGCCCCCAACTTCCCCGCTCCTGTGCTGTCCCAAATACAAGGGTACTTTTGGTCCAAAGAGGCACAGAGGCTTGCTTGCACGTAGCAGGCACTGAGTAAACGTTAGCTGGTGAATACCTGCCAGTCACTATGTTGAGCACTCTCAATTCCTAATCCTAAACACAGCGTGGTGATTCAGTGCAGTGGCTCATGCCCATAGTCCCAACACTTTGGGAGGCTAAGGCAGGAGGATCACTTGAGGCCAGGAGTTCAAGACTAGCCTGGGCAACACAGAGAGACCCCATTTTTACAAAAAATTTTAAAATATTTTAAAAATTTAAAAATAAACACAATATGCCTCATGTAACACAAGAGACACACACTGCTCCTGTGCATCTGCAAAAAGAAGGAAGATGGCCCCCAGGACACAGGGATTCACTCTCTTTCTTTAAACCAAAAGTTCTCTCAAAGGTCCTGTTTTTCATGTATTTTTGGGAAGTTTCTCCTATGGCGGTCATTCTCTCTCCATTTAAAAAAATCTGTTATCTATTTCCTTTAGCAATTTGTTCTAATAATTAAAGCTGAGAAACAGTTATGCAGCAGAAGAAACAAAGGAGGCCCATCTCCCCTCCCTAACAGCTTGAAACACCTGCAGTGTGGGTAACACCCCCCATGGGCACTGAGGAAAGAGAACTGTCCAGACCACAGGCACAATTAGTGCTTGACGAATATCTTAGTTTATAGTGTTATTACTTAGCTATTTCCTTTATATAATTCTTCATATATAATTATATATTAGTTTACAGAATTAGTGCCTGAAGTATAGCTTACTGCTTACATATATCTAGTTTATATAATCATACTTAATAGTAATATCTAGCATACTTAGTTCTATATAATCTTTCTATATAATCATATAGTTATTGTAGTCGGAGCTGTATTGACACATTTAGTGCTGATTTATATAATCCTTCTATATAACCATATAGTAGTATGTAGTAGGAAGAATGTCTAGAGCAGTTACAGAACAGAAGCAGTACATGGGAAAACAGCCAGACCAGGATGAGAACCAAAGATCCAGGCAGTGGCTTCCCGCCTGAAAGGGTATACGCCGTATGGCAGGCTTGGAGCAAGTGCCTCTCCTCCTGATAAAGGAGTTGTAGTATCTTGCATCCAGTTCCTGTGGAAAGTAGGCCTCAGGCCTGAGATCCTGGAAATAACCGAGCGAGAAGAACCCATCTGGTGTGACCAGTCACAGAGGCTGTACACCCTGTCAGTCTTTTCTCGCTTCTGTGCTAGCTCAAATCACCCTCCCATAAATATCTTAAGAGCACAAGTTTGTTGGCTCCCACTGCATTAAGCTTACAGTATCCTTTTATTAGAAATTCTTTGAAGTCTCCAGCCCCTAGATAAGAAGTGTGGCGCACGACACCTGTTGCACAGCCCACCTCCTTGCCTCGGTGACCTAATGGGGGTGGACCCCTTATTTTGTACATGACCCTCTACTACTGCTCATGGCACAGCCCTCTACTGCGCAAGGCCCATCTCTCTGCCCAGGTGACATAATGGGGTGGCCCCCTTGCTTGTGGCTCCTGTGATTACGTATGCCCTATTACTAAGCCTACAGATGACCTCACTACGACCCTGCCCCCTAATTGTACCTAATAAATACAGATGCTCTTGGGCATTTGGGGCACTCGCCGACCTCCACTCACAGGTGGCATGGTCCCCTGAGTCCAGATGCTCTTCACCAGTTCTTCAGTGTCCTGTCTCTTTACTTTCTGATCCTGCACCTCAGCACAGCATAAGGGATACCCCACGACACTGTGGGGCCCAACAGCCCTACACTGCAGGAAGGATGTCCTAGCCCTAAGGCCTCCCACAGGGTTCAAAGGTAGAAAAACAGGAGGGTCACCATGGCGTCGGACAGTATGGCTGGAAGTAGCCACCCAGCCAGCCTTCTAAGTCAGACAGGGTGAGTGATGTATGTATGTGTAGGTGTGGTATGTGCCTGTGTTGGGGAGGGTACAGGCAAGTCTAAGCTACTGCTACACAGAGGACAAAGCAAAGGGACAACAGCTACCTTCATAAACCCCTCCAGTGTTGCCTGTGTGGTTTGTGACCACAGCAACCCCAATCAACTAGACTCACAGGCTTTCTGTGGACTGTTCTCAAGAGTACACCCAGGCTGGCGGTTTGTGGCTCAAGGAGTTAGTAATGAGCATACTTGCCAGATTCTCAATAAACTACTGACCTTAAGTGGAATGACAACTTCCCCTCTCTGCTACCTAAAACACAGTGTGTGGTCTAGTAGACCCACTGTGACCCCTCACACACTGCCACTGGCACTCTGGTAATGAAAGGCTTTGGGATCAACCCAGTCACCAGCAAAGATCCAAAAAGCCCAGATTGTGTCCCCACTGCTACAGCAACCTCAAAACTCAGGACTGGAAGGGACAAAGTACAGGGAGGGTGAACCACAGTCTCTTCCCTCATCCTCACTGGCCTGAATACCTGGGCTGGAAGCACTGGAAATTAATGGGCAGCCTGGGCTAGTGTCCAGTGAGGCAGCACTGTACTCATCACAGGTTAAGAGAATGAGCCAAAAATAACATTTTGCCCGATTCTATCTGCCCAATTCTATCCCAGTGTGAAAGCAGCAGATAGCAAGGACACATTCAGAGTAACCTCCACGACCAAGAGCTCCTGAGAGGTCTGGGTCTCATCGTTGCTGTCCCAGCTTTGGGGACACTGTGCAGGGCTCAAAATGTAAGTCAAGCTGAGGTGAGGTCCCTGCCCACCACCTTCTCTCTCGGCTCCACCACACCTGGGCAGAGGAGTGACTCCAGTGTACCGGGAGGGAGTCAACAGGAGCCCCAATGGGCAGAGGAACAGGGTATCAGTCCCAAATACTGTATCCCGATATTACTGAGTCCCCAAAGGCTCTTAGTGTGACAGTGAAACCGGGGTCTGGTAGCTGATCTCACGCCCTCCGCTGTTTGATCTCAGAGACAGGAAAGCCAACTCTTGGTCATAACAAAACAGGAGCACCCAACATGAAGCTGCAAAACTGTCTCCAGAACTTCATAAAATGCACGCATGTACTCCTGAGGCAAGGACCCTCCTGACCCCTGACCTCCTGTACCTGTCTTCAGGACCACCAGGTGTGCAGCATCATCCCGGACATAGGAGACGGCGGCGATGTCATGGATAGGCACCCTGAGGATGATATCCTCCCCGTCCCTCCAGGCCAGCTTGATGTTGTACGCAGACAGGCTGAGCACAGCATCGTGCTCCTGAGTCAAGTGTCCTGGAAGTTGGTGGGCTCTCTGGAAGGAACCACAGGGCATCAGAAATGCTGACTCAGCTGTCAAACGGCATGGGGCGCTTCTCCCGAGAATACTGTGCTGGCCAATGTCAATATGTGACAAACGCTGAGTGAATAAGGTCAGTGTTATTCCCCTCAGAACAGTGGTGCTTATTCCAGGGACACCAATGCGTTCAAACCATTTGGGATTCTTCTGGAACTGCTTTCAGATTCTTCTGGAACTGCCTTCAGGACTTACGGACGGCATGTGGTTGGAAATATCTTGAAAACGTAAATTTTGGAAACAGCCCAAAATCACATGGAGCAAGTCTCGAGAATCAAGTTAATGTCCATACTGAGGAACAGTCTTTACGGGACTGGGTCATTCCTCACAACCACGAGGCCAAGAGTACAGGGACCAAGGGCTGGTGGGGGCTGAGGGATAGTGCACAGGGTTAAGAGGATACAGTTACCTTTGCATTGTCTATGAAATGCAGGATTTCAGTCCTACTGGAGGGATTCAGGTATCCTGGTATGGACGTTAACTGACCTAAATACTGAAAGAAAGTGAAGAAAAAAAATGCCATGAGAAATGGGAGCCGAGTCAACACAACCATCACTATTGCCAGGAGCATAGACCAAGTGCTTCATACTCGGGCCACCAGGCCCACGGGTCTCCATTTCGGCTCGCACAGAGGCCTGACTCTAGGAAGAGAGTCCTGGGTTCCTACAGAAATCTCTACTGACTGGGGACAGTGCTGCCCCATCTCCTCCTGTTCTACATTCAAGGTTATCATCAAAAGTCCTGCAACAAGCATCCCAAACTACTAGTACCAAGACTGCTAGTTTTGGTAGAATCTGTATTCTAAGACAGGGATGGCCAGTGTTTCCAGTCACTGCTGAGGAAACGGAAAACAATGGGACCATGCACAACTTCGCTAAAAATACTAAAAAATAAACTTCCTCAATTGCAAAGGTCAACACAGCTGAAAAATGAGAATAGAGAAAGTAAGTGCTATGGTTTCAATGTGTCCCCCAAAAAGCATGTGCTGGAAACTTAGTCCCCAAATGCAACAGTGGTAAGAGGTAGGGGCTTTAAGAGGTGGTTAGGCCACACAGAGGTCTGCCCTTGTGAGCAGATTAATGCTGTTATCCTGGGAGAGGGTTTGTTATCTCAGGACCAGGTTCCTGATAAAAGGATGAATTCAACCTCCTTCCCTCTCCTGCCCTTCCACCTTTCACGCTGGAATAAAACAAAATGCAGATGCAGCCCTTCACGAGCTGTGTCCTTCAGCCTTGAACCTCCTATCCTCCAGAACTATATGATTTTTTTTTTTTTAAGACAGAATCTCACTCTGTCACATAGGCTGGGGTACAGAGGTATGATCATGGCTCACTGCAACCTCTGCCTCCCAGGCTCAAAGCAATTGTCCCACCTTAGCCTCCTGAGTAGCTGAGACTACAGGTGTGTGCCACCATGCCTGGCTAATTTTTGTAGAGACGGGGTTTTGCCACGTACTCCAGGCTGGTCTCAAACTCTTGGACTTATGCAATCTCCCCACCATGGTCTCCCAACATGCTGGGATTACAGATGTGAGGCACCATGCCCAGCCTAGAAATTTCTATAAGTTATAAATTTCCCAGTCGGGAAGGGGAAGGGGAAGGGGAGAGAAAACGGCACAACCAGAACATTCTGTTATCCTTAACGAAGGCCTTTCCTCAAGGAAAACTATTTTACCAGAGCCTAACCACCTAAGAGTAAGGAAACACCCAATTCCTGCCTCCTCTATCTTTTATATCTCTCCTAAGGGGGAGGGAAAAAAACAAAACTGAGAAGCACGTGTGAAGGCCACAGCCCAGGGACACAGGCTCACTAAAACACTGAGCCCCAGGACTACAGAACACTCCCTCTCCCCTCCCCTGAGAGCCACATCAACAGGACTCCTGTGTAATAACAATGATGCACACTGACAAGACCTGCAGGTCTCAGACTCAGATCTAAGAAGGAATCTTGAGGAAAACCCAAAAACAAAGAACACACAGGAGATTTCATCCCCCAACATTTACAAGGGCAGCAAACAGTAAACACAGTCCAACTCCCAGCCAAACAGACCTCACACTAAGGCCTATTAACCTGACGCTGATGCCTAAGTTCCTCATATCAGAACCAGACTCATACATGGCGGCGATTTTGGAACTATCAGATTGGGAATTTAAAACAACTACAATCAATATGGTAATGGCTCTCTAATGGATAAAGTGGACATCATGTGAGAACAGTTGGGTAGAATAAACAGATGGAAACCCTAAGCAACAATCAGTAGGAAATGCCAGAAAGTAAAAGTCCTATAACAGCAATGTGGACTACCTTCAACAGGCTCATCAAGAGGCCAGACACAGCCAAGGAGAGACTCTCTGAGCTTAAGAATACATCAACAGAAATTTCCAAATATGAAAAGCAAAGGGAGAAAAGAATGAAAAAAACAAAACAGAATATGCAAGAACTATGGGACAGTTACAAAAGGTGTAACATATGTGCAACAAGCATATCAAGAGAAAGACAAGAACCTAAGAACTATTTGGACTAATGAGAGCTGAGAAGTTCCCAAATTAACGTCGGACACCCACCTACGGATCCAGAAAGGTCAAAGAACACAAAACGGCAAAAAACAGGGAAGCTACACTGAGGCACATCACGTCAAACTGCAGAAAAAGAAGATTTTCTCTTTTGCAGAAATCTGGGATTTCTTTCCATAGGAAAAAAACACCTTACCTATAAATAGCAAGAACAAGCATGACACTGGACTTCTCTTCAGAAATCATACAAGAAGAAAGAAGGAACTATTTAAAGGACTGAGAGAAAAAAGTGCACCAACCCATGATTATGTACCCTGTGAAATTATCCTTCAAAAGTGACAGAGAAATGATTTTTCTCAAAAACTCAGAGATTTAACATTTCAAGAAAAGTTAAAAGAACTTCAGAGAGAATGAAAATGATTTGGTCAGAAACTCTGTTCTACATAAAGAAAGGGAAAAGCATCAGATAAGAAATAAATGTAGGTAAAATTAATCTTTTATTTTTCTTATTTTATTTTTTGAGATGGAGACTTGCTCTGTTGCCAGGCTGGTGTACAGTGGCACGATCTTGGCTCACTGCAACCTTAGCCTCCTGGAATCAAGCGATTCCCCCCGCCTCAGCCTCCTAAGTAGCTGGGACTACAGACGCGCACCACCACGCCGAGCTAATTTTTTTATTTTAGTAGAGACGGTGTTTCACCATGACCAGGATGGTCTCAATCTCCTGATCTTGTGATTCACCCACCTCAGCCTCCCAAAGTGCTGGGATTACAGGCTTGAACCACCATGCCTGGCCTATTTTTCTTATTTTAATTGCTCTAATGCATTAACAGTTTGTTCAAAATAAAATTTGTGTACTGGGTGACTATAGCCTAAGGATAAATGAAATAAATGGCAGCAATGTTATAAAAGTGGTGGGAGGAGTGAATTTGGAATACTTGGTTACAAGGTACACCATTATTTGAAAGTGGATTCTGATTAGTTGTGAGTGTATAATGCAAACCCTAAGGCAACCACTAAAATATATGTGTGTGTGTGTGTGTGTGTGTGTGTGCATATATATTTTCTATATATACGTACAAATATGTGTATTTATGTTATATATATGTGTACGGGTATATATATATATATATATACACATACACACACACACCACACACACACACACACACACACACACACACACACACACACATACATATATATATTTTTTTTGGACACAGGGTCTTGCTCTGTCACCCAGGCTAGAGTGCAGGGGTACAAGCACAGCTGACTGCACCCTCAACCTCTCAGGCTGAAGTGATCCTCCTATCCATAGGTGAGACTACAGGTACATGCCACCACACCCAGCTAATTTTTGTATTTTTTGTAGCGACAGGCGGGATTGTGCCATGCTGCCCAGGCTGGTCTTGAACTCCTGAGCCCAACAGATCACCCACCTTGGCCTTCAAAAGTGCTGGGAATACAGGCATGAGCCACCACATTCAGCCCATAGCTTTTCTTTTTCTTTCTTCTTTTTCTTCCTTCCTTCCTTTTCTTTCTTTTTCTTCTTTCTCTCTCTCTCTCTTTTTTAAGAGACAGGGTTTTGCCACATTGCCTAGGCTAGTCTCAAACTCCTAGGCTCACGTGATCCTCCTGCCTTGGCCTCCCAAAGCGCTGGGATTACAGGCATGAGCCACCATGCCCAGCCAAAAGTTTTAAGCAAAGTATTAGCAAATTGAATCTAATAATGTATTAACAATAATTATAACACCATGATCAAGTGGAATTTCTCCCAGGTGTGCAAGGCTGATTCTATATTCAAATATCAATCATTGTAGCCTGGGTGCAGTGGCTCATGCCTATAATCCCAGCACTTTGAGAGGCTGAGCGTGGATCACCTGGGATCAGGAGTTTGAGACAGCCTGGCCAACATAGCAAAATCTTGTTTCTATTAAAAATAC